GACACCTGCACCCCAATGTTCATAGCAGCACTATTACAACAGCCAAGACATGGAAACAGCCTAAATGTCCATCAACAGATGACTGGATAAAGAAGATGTGGTATATTTATACAATGGAATACTATTCAGCCATAAAAACGACAACATAATGCCATTTACAGCAACATGGATGTGCCTGGAGAATGTCATTCTAAGTGAAGTAAGCCAGAAAGAGAAAGAAAAATACCATATGAGATCGCTCATATGTGGAATCTAAAAAAAACAAACCAAAAAAACCAAACAAACAAAGCATAAATACAAAACAGAAACAGACTCATAGACATAGAATACAAACTTGTGCTTGCCAGGGGGGTGGGGGGTGGGAAGGGATAGATGGGATTTCAAAACTGTAGAATAGATAAACAAGATTATACTGTATAGCACAGGGAAATATACACAAGATCTTATGGTAGCTCACAGCGAAAAAAAAAAGTGACAATGAATATATATGTGTTCATGTATAACTGAAAAACTGTGCTCTACACTGGCATTTGACACAACATTGTAAAATGACTGTAAATCAATAAAAAATTTAAAAAAAATTTATTTTCTTAATTTTCACTTTTCTAGAGGATAGCTAACCATCCAAAACAGAAATAGTAAATATGTATTTTGTGATTGTTGTTATGTAAAATTAAAATGTTTGACAACAATTGCACAAAAGATGGATGGGAGAAATTAAGATGACATTATTTTAAGGTCCTTGCACCACACATGATCTGACATAGTGTTATGTGAAGACAGAAAAGAAAGACTGTGAGACACTGAAGATGTATATTGTAAATCCTAGGGTTTCCAAGAAAACATTTTGAAAATGATATAAATAATAAGCAAACTGGGAAGATAAAAAGGAATCAAAATAACCCAGGAGAAGGAAGGAAAATACGAAAAAGATAAAGAGCAGAAAGAATAAACAGAAAATAATTAGCAAGAAGAGGGGGAGCGTATAGCTCAGTGGCAAAGTGCACGCTTAGCATGCATGAGGTCCTTGGGTTCAATCCCCAGTGCCTCCACTAAAAATACATACATATATGCATACATACATAGATCTAACTACCTCCCCACCCCCAAAACAAAACAAAACAAACAAGAAAGAAAACAATTAGCAAGATAGTAGAGCAGAGTTAAGTCTAAGATGGTAGATATAAATAAAGGCAAATTAAAGGACAGACTGGAGATTTGGTGAAAAAGCAAGGCCCAGCCATACAACGCCCATAAGAAAGCAACTTAAACACTACAACACAGGCACAGTGAAGTAAAAGGATGGGAGATGTTCACCATGAAACACTAATCAAAAGACAGTGAAGCGGTTTTCTAATATCAGAGGATACATCAGTACCAGAACAGACGCCAGGCCGAGAACATCACCAGTAAAAGGTGAAAAGGTCATTACTGGGGAGAGGGAGGGTAAATAAGTGGAGGTGAGAGGATTTTCAAGGCTGTGAACTACTGTTTGATACTGTAATGGTGGATACGCGTCATTATACATTTTGTCCAGACCCACAGAATGTGCACCACCAACAGTAAACCCTCAGGTAAACCGTGGGCTCCAGGTGATGGCGCGTCACACAGTTCCATCAGGGTTCACAGATTTCCCCGTCCAGAGGAGGGTCTTAGTAACATGTATGGGGGCAGGGAGTATGTGAGAAACCTCTGTACCTTCTGCTCAATTTTGCTGTCAAACTAAAACTTCCAAAAAAATCTATTTAAAAAAAAGGATCATCACTAATGACCAAGGGGTCAAGTCACAGGAAAGACATAACAATGCTGAATGTATCTGCACCCAGCAGAATCTCAGACTACATTAAGTAAAAACTAACAGTAGTGAAAGGAGAAACAGGAGAATTCACAATTATAACTGAAGACCTCAACACTCAGAACTCAGCAATCAATGGAACAAGCACAAGCGAAAACTGGTAGGGACATAAAAGGAATGAAAAGAACTTCACCTAACTGGCCTTTACAACAGTCCTTCCAGAACACTCTCTCCCACAGCAGACCTGCCAAAAACAGAAGGCCGAGTCCGAACAGCACAGACAGGAGAGGCAGGATCACTGACAAAACCCACCGCCTAGATCCAGGGACAGGGGGCCTGCCAAGCTGACCCTGGACTACAGTGACAAGCAGCAGTCTAGGGCTGGAGGGAGGGCCCGGGTAGGGAGGTGACTCCTTCTGAGGCACAGGCACACAGGGAGGGTCTAAAGCTAAGGATGGAACACAAATGGGAAGAGGACCTCTGGAACATTCCAGTTACCACCCCAAGTACAAGTAAATCTTGAGGAATTTTAAGTCAGTAGTTAGCCAGAGTTCCAAAATCCAGCTCATGTCCTAAACACGCTGAATCAGTGACCTAATGACCTAGCAAAGGAACAGGCATGGCTATTCAGGCATAAATTCTATTTACCTCAGTCTCTACTCTTCTGCACCTAACACCAACACTCTCAAACTTTCTGAGACGCACAAAGCAGAAGCAGCAACAGCAACAAAAATCAGCCAAAAAACAAAGCAATCAACAGAAAAAAAAATCAGAAATGAGAATTACCAGAGAGGGAATTTGAAATAACCCATAGTTAATATGTTTAAACTTTGTGGGAAAGGTGGACAAAATGCATGAACAGATACAGAATCTGAATGGAGATGAAAACCATAAGATAAAGTCAAATGGAAGTGTTCACAATAAAAAGGCTGCAAATGCGCTAAAGAAAGCTTTCAGGAAGCTCATTAGTAAAGTCAACACAGGGGAGGAAAGAGTGAATAAGCTTGAAGATGGGTTGATAAAAGTTACCTAAACTGAAACACAAAGAGAAAAAAGGTAAAAAGCGTATTGGTACAGCCTCTTTGGAAAAGACAACAGTTGTCATTTACATACTTACGACTCAGAAGTCCCACCCCTAGATTAAAGAAATGGAAACTCAGGTTTACACAAAGCCAGTGTGTGAATGCTCGTAGTGCTTTTATCCATAATTACTACATCTGGGAACAACCCAGATGTCCTTCAACTGGTTAATGGATAAACACATTGATGTAGCCAGACAATGGAATACTATTCAGCAAAAATTAAAAGGTAAATAAATAAATACTGGTAAATGCAATGGTGTGGATGAATATCAATAACTTTACACTGAAAGAACTTGGACTCGAAATGCAATATATTTATGATTCCATCTATATGAGTGACACTCTGGAAAATACAACAGTAAAGAGAATGAAAACAGATTACTGGTTGCCAGGTGTTGGTGGTGGGGTTAGGGGCTGACTACAGAAGAGCACAAGAGAAATGTGAGGGGTGAGGGAAACGTACTACATCCTGATCGTGGTGGTAGACCTTTGTCTAACTTTATAGAACTGTATGCTAACAGGGTAAATTTTACCATATAGAATTTAAAAAGTATTTTCTTGTAAACTATTTTTGTGTGGGACTGGTACTTTAATAATTATACAGTGTAATATTGCCTTAATTAGGTTTGACGTTCCTCAAATTAAAAAGTCATTAGAGAAGATGATTCTGCCACTTGATGAGAGGCTGACAGGTGATCTCTAAAATCTTCTCTAAAGGTTTCTGAGATACGTATGTGATTCTTCAACCTTATACACTATAATTGTTATTTTTTCCCCATGGTTATATTTATGCTATATACAACTATAAATATATATTCATAGAAAAAATTTGGAATACTCTTCAGTATTATGATTTATTCTGTCATACATAACTCTGTGTTCTTTTTCCCACAACATGTGATAATGTATCATCCAAAAAAAGTTATTATTTTATTCACAAAGTATATACCGTACAACAAATTAAAATTAAGAAAATGAGGGAGCAGGTCATATTCAAGTCTAAACACATTGCTAATCCCTAGTTTCAGAAATACAAATAGCTCATTAAGTTGGTATATTTGCTATGTTAAAATATTTAAAGATCGAGTAGAAATGTGCCCTTTATGAATGTGAGGTGTGGAGCATTTTCTTCTTTTTAAAGGAAAACCCTAGAGAACCACATTTTCCCCATTTGAAAAAGTTTTTCCTAGCTCTTTCCTGCACTTGTATTAGAAATTTCTTTGTGCAAACCTCTGAAATACAGCTTCTTCAAGAATTTGCTAGGAAAAGGGGATGAGGTCATACCCTGAGACGCAGGGGAGCCAGCCTGGGAAGGCCCTGCAAGCTCCTCCTCACCGCTGGACCTGTCTTTTAGGAAGGAGCCACTGGTCGTCCACAAGCTGGGGTCCCTGTCACTAGAACAGAAATTTGTATTTATATTTAAATTTGTATTTCAGAGAACGTATATATTTAAGAAAGAATCTCTGATAATCTATATTAGTTATTCAACTGACATTCACCTCTATGTCAGTCCAGCCACCCACTCCCACTGTCAGCCCCTGGAACTGGCCCACCTTCAGAGAGAATTCTGGAGTCTCAGCCTCTGGTCACAACCTCCATCCATCTCCTCTCACTTTCACTTGGCTTGCCAACTAGCTGCCTTGGATCAGTCCACCTACCCACCTTCTTTCCTCCTTTACCCAGGCCGTGGTGGAAGAAGAGCACTGGGGTCATTGGGGTTTCCAGTGTCAGCAGAGAGCTGGAGAAACACGGATGTCTCTATTCTGTCTCCTCTTTTGTTCGTAATTTTTCAAACTACCACCGTCATGTAGTCTCCATCCTAATTCTCTGCTTTAAGAAAAATGTAGTCCCTTCTATAAACTGTAAGCCAGAAAGCAAGAACTCTTTCAATTTACTCTCTTTCAAAATGTAACTTGGAAGGATCGGCATTCTTCATTACTCCTTACTTTCTCCATGTTCAGAGTTAATCCTTCTGTGTTCTCAGCTCTTATGCCTTCTGTCTCCTCTGAGACATTTTTTCTAAAATTACTTTTCCTTATATTTATGCATATATACAAAATTAATCTCTATCTACAACCTTTTCCATATTATAAGAATACTTGATTCTCTCTCACCTTAAAAACAAATCCTTTAATCCTTCTATCCCCATCTAACTACTGCTCTATATGCTGTAACAGATTTCTCAAATACTAGCCCACACTCACTTTGTTTCCTTTCCAACTTCTCACTACTCAGTTTTGCTCACTTATGCTGCCTCCTTGGCTGTTCCTGCATTTTCATTTGCAATTCCACTTAGCAAGAGCCTCCTAATTTGATTTCTGAGTCTAATCTCCAATGTCTAGAGAAAATTCTCCCTAAAACCCAGATTTAATTGTTACACCTGCCCACCAACCGCAGGGTAAACCCAGGCTCCTTACTGGGCTCCTAAATATTTATGCACTTTATGCCTCAACCTTAGCAAAGTAATGGTCTTTTGCTTTTGCTTCTGTGGGTAATTTAAGGTTTCTTACTCCTTCCTCCTCATTTTTTCTTGGATTACTGGCAACATCTACCTGTTCTCCATTTCCTGCCAGCTCTCTTCCACCTTGCTACCAGCATTCCTCCTTCTAGGCAGATAGAGGATAGACACATGACTGACAGGTGGGCAGATGCATGAATAGAACAGAAGACTTGTCTGTGCTTCATTTTCATTCTAACAGACTGAATAAGACATGTACTCCTTGGTTTCACACACACTGAGCTCCTTCACACTCTGGCCCACGCTGTACTTTCTGTTCTATGGCTCATCTTCCCCAGCTTCCCTGCACTTCAATTCACGCACGCCCTACAACTCTTGACACTTAACATCTCTTACCATGAATTAGGTATCTTCACAGCTCCTTACCTTTGCTCAGACCTCTTCCCCCAGCTTGAAATTTTCTTCTGTCCCTTTTCACCTGCTGAACTTCTATTTATTTGAGATGCTAAATCCAACCAAAATATCCTTTCTTCAAAGAAGCTGGTGGGGAACTCCCCACTTGCATAGTTCTCGGTCTCCTGTACCCACTGCCCTTGGACCTTGACTCTATAATAATATCTACTCCACTGCATTTAAATTGGTCTTTTACATGTCTGTTTCCCCAGCTAAACTGTAAACTAAAGGACAAGAAGTATGTATATTTTGTATTTATATGCAGTGCTTAGTATATAATTAGCATTTACTAATTAGTATACACTAGTAGCACATAATGTTATCTCAAATGCCTTTTGAATTAGTTTATTTGTTCATTTAACTTCTGAAAGTTTACACAAGATGCATACCATACACATAACTACACAGTGCTATTTCAGTGACTGTAGCCAATACTTTAAAGTCTCTAAGAAAATATGGCTCAATAAAATGTTTTCTTACTTGCCATATTTTTGGATTTGAACACTTTATAAGCATGAAAAGTTGCTGTTCCTTTTGTTTTTCTAATGGAAATTTACTTTTCTCCTGGTTCTTTACATTTTTTTTTCAAATACAGTGCCAAGAATTCACCATGCTAATAGTCCTGTTTCTAGCACATTATTTTCTTTCTAGAAACAGACATAATTTCTCATAAAATTTAGCTGTGCTTTGAGCTTTACTTTACTTTAAGTACACTGCTCCCTCCAAGAGCTCCAAACACTTCATTCACAAAGGCTTTGGAACTAGGTAATTGTTGAGATGATAGAGAAATTGAATTCTTTAGGAATATTTTTCTCTTGAATTAATATCATACTTATTAGATCATAAATACATCCTATTTATAGACAAATCAGGCTGTACTCACTACAAAGAACTATATTTTTAAAACTTATCAAACATTTGAGGGCCATTATTCACTGTCTCCACTCAAGAGGGCTAGCTGTGAATATGAATAAACAAAAAACTCACTAAGTAAGCATATTAGTCATACCTTCCTGTATCCTCTTTAAAATGATCCTCAAAATCATCATTTTTTGGGAACTCCTGAGGAAAGACTTTGGCCTTCTCTGAGTTAACTTCACTTTCCAAAACCTACAGGCGTAAGAAAGGAAAAAATTACGGCCACGATTTTAGAAATATATAGTTTAAAAGAAAATGTTTCCTACAGCTTCTTAAGAAGAAGAATAAGGCCTTCAGTTATAGAATTGAAACCACAATCACACTCATGGAAAACCACTTGAAACGCACATCTCCCTATTAAATATTTTCCAGTCTGTCAAAGGCGTTGAGTACTATGCCCATATAAATGATTTCTATTGAATCATCCAAGTTATTTTCTAGAAGTTCATAAAAATAAGCCTCATTTTTCTTAAAAACAAAACCAAAAACTGCAGCCCAGAGGAAATTCTTATAACAAGTGCTATCACATTTAGTTTACTGTTCATATAAAATTCTTAGTACAGTAACTCTATGTCTGTGCCATGAGAGTTTGTACTGCCCAATGGACTTTATTAATTAATCCATTTTGTTGCCTTTGCAGCCTCCTATATAGCACCTGGTCTGCTGGTAAACAGAATATAATTAAAGGAAAAATAACATTAAAATAAAGATGGAATTAATACATTCATTTGACAGTTCTTTTCTGGGGGCCTAGTACATGCAGATACTGTTCTAAGTGCTATGGATAAAACACTGAACAAGAGAGGCATGTGTTCTTCTCTCCTTGTAGAGGGTGTATATTTTCATGGGGGCAGAGAAAATACACAGGCAAGCATGTAAAAGTCACAGCTGGTGACAAGCGTTAGTGCAGTAGCAGAATTTGGTGATACCTAATCGCCACGTACCTAAAAGACAGAAGGAAGGGCTAGGCAAAGAGGCAGGAAAGCATCCTGAGCAAAGGGAGCAGCAGGTCCAAAGTCCACCTGGCCTGCCACGGTCCGGCGTCTGCCTCATCTCCCTCCCTCATCTCCCCTTCTCTATTTCTCATGCAGTATCTCTAGCCACCGGCTGTGTTACGTCTTTTCATCTCTTTTGAAGTGTCTTTTGATTCTTACTTTGTGAAATTTATTAACCCTTTCCTCTCTTCTGAGTGTGTGTGCATGTGTATATGTTTTGCTTAATTCCATGAACTTCCTAGACCTGGAATGCATCTTACAGGCATAGATACAGCCGTCATTCCAGAATACAGACCCGAGCACAATCAGTTTTAAAAACAAGCACATTAACGGAAAGATGCAAACAACGACCTAGCCCTCCTACCAAGCATGCAGGCTAAACATGCAACTTATTATGTCTTAGCGTAAATGAATAAGCACCGCCTAAGACGTAAGATTAGCTTACATTTAGCAATAACTCGACCACTTTAGAATATATTAAATCCTGGTGGATTAGCTAACTGCCATTTTGAATAATGTATAAAACAAATTTTTAAAAAGTCATTCATTATAGAGGTAAAATATATCAATTCTCATATATTTTTCTAAACTCTCTAAAGCTTTGCTTTAAATATTTGGGGATTTCATTCACCTAGAATCAACTGCAGTGTAAAGTGTACCTTGCCCATTCTGCTCAACCACCACCAACGATCTTCCATCAATGGACATTCACAAGGTGCAACAGACCATGCCTGGCTCCAGGGGAGCTTTGCAGAAGGACACAGGAAAGGAGCGGCACGTGTCAGCAGAAGAGCCTCAGGCTTGCCCTCCTCAGGAGCTCTGAGCATTCTAGCGCCATCTCAAGTGTAAGGCACTGAAATGACATGGGTGGGTCCCTGAGGCACCCGGACTCAGAAGTCTCAAGCTACACAGGAACCAGTACCTCTTGCAACAACCCAAGAGCCTAAGCCCTGGAGATGACAGCGAGGAGCTTCCCACAGGCACCCTGTCTGTACTTTCAACAAGACATTCAAAGTCCTAGTCATAACCCTTCCAGCCCAGGCGTCAGTTTTGCCATAATCAGTGCTGCCTGATCGCAGCTGACAGCCCGCTTTTTCAGGTTTCCAGAGCAACAGGGTGCTGGGGGCCAACACAAGGTCGTTCTCTCATTTCCCCTTTGGCTTACAGGTTTAGAAGTACGTGCCTTTAAATCCCAAATGTACGTTTCCTCTTTCTGTGGTTGACTTCCAGCTGAATTTCTTTATATCAGAGACCAGTCAGTACTACAAAAATTATCTGACATTTATTGTGATATATTTTGATTTGGCACATGGTAAATTTTTATAAATGGCCCACATATGTTTGAAAAAAATTGTGTGTTCTCTATTTTTGGATGCATGTTCTGTATATGTCCATTATATCTAGCTTGCTAATTCACTTTTTTTTATAATTTCTATATTCTTAACTAATTGTCTAATATATTAATAAAAGAGATACTTTAAAATGGCCCACTACCATAGTAAATTTATCAATTGCTCCTTGTAATTCTGATTTACATATTCTGAAGCTATTGTTAGGTGCTTATATAAATTTAGAATTTTATATCTTCCTTGTGAGCCAACAAGCCTTTTAGTATTATATAGTGACTTAATACCTAATGGTTTGCTTTTAAGTATCTTCTTTCTGACATCACTATAGCTATACCAGCTCTCCTTTGTTAGTGTTCCTCTGTGCATTTTAATTTTTCTACTTTAAAATATCAAGGGAAAATATTCCCCAAAGATTTATTCTCATTAGCCTATGTGGATAACCACTAAAATAAATGAGATGAGTTCTCCAGAGTTGACCTGGTCCTGAAAACTAGTTTATCCACACTGCTAGGGAAAGCAAATCTCTAAAAATTAATTTCAGGTAATTAAAGTAGGAATGTGGAGATTGTGAGTGAAACGGCACAGAGGAAAAGAAAGGGGTAATGCTACCACATCAGCACAGCCCCTCCCAGCTCAGGCAAGACTTGCTGGAGAGCCATCTGCACACCGCTCATCTGCTAAGAAGTGACGTCGCCTGAGCGGGAAGCCCTGGCATAGTTCAGCCTGGGCTGTACTCGAAGTTGCGCTTCAGAATCAACTTGACTGTCCTTACCGAAGACGCAAACTGTTCCAGACGGCTGTCACTCAAATAAGGCTCACTCAGGACCCTAACGTGTCTTTGAACGAAATCTGATTTGGCTAACGATGCCAAGAAGGCACAAGGAGAAATATTCTAAATTATCAAGATGCCAGGTCTTTTTGGAGAGTGCTCACTGAATCCAATTAATGTCAAAGAAAAGGCTGGATCGATTTTTCCAAGAAGCCTAAGTGAACTTTTCTGCACTGTATGCCAAAGACTTGTGAGGACAGAGTGAAAGCAGCAACACGAGGAGACAGGAGCCTGGCTTCTAGTCTCTTCTCTGCGACCGGAGAGCTGTGTGGCCACAGGAAAATCACTTCAGCTTCTGGGGCTGCTTCTTCACCTCTAAAATGAGCACTGGAACAAAAATTTATTGATCTGTCTTGTAAAGCTGAACATCTACACACAAGCCTATGAAGTCTAGACAGTCCCCAGGGACAGCATCGTACTGAAAAGGCATCAAGGGGCTATTATACCAAATTAACTGCTTCATGAAATGTAAGCAGAGCAAATTCTAACAAAACTAGCTGATTCTCAAAACATACTCTACAAGCCACCCAGAAATGTTCTAAGATACTCTTTTCTAAAAGGAAACTTTAAAGCATATCAAATCTCATCCTAGAAAAGTCAAGCCATAAAATATTGGGGAAAAAACCCAAACCATAAAACACACTCAGTTCTAGAAGGGTGTCAAGCATGGCTATATAAAGAGTCTGCGCAAGACATTCTATGAAGTTGTTCACTTCCAAATATCTGTCCTTCAAGGGGGAGATCATTCTGATCACAGAAAAGGATCAACAGTGGGGCTGAGAGCCCAGAATTACACTAGAAGAGGCTGCCAGCCAGAGGTGTGATGGTGGCCTTGATGTGGCCACCGTATGTGTCACAGGGGAACGGACAGACTCCCCGTGGGAGAACAGCCAAGCTACCATGCTGTCTTCCGAAGCAGCAGCTCAGCACGTTGTCAGCCCTGGGTGGGGCGGCGGCCGAACGGGGACAATGGGGGAAGCAGTGCTTGTTCTTGGTACTGAGTTTGAGCTCCATGGATGCTGGAACCTACAGGAAGTGAGTATGAGGACAGGAACATGATGCAAGTCCCAAAGCTCCAACAGATTAGAGAAGGAAAAAAAAAATGTAAGGCACCTACAAGATAAAAACATATTTCTCTTTTTGTGCTCTAACCCTGGGAGTATCTCCACAAGAAAGGTAATGTGTCAAGGTGAGGGTTTTGCTCCAGATTTCTTTGCAGCCGTCTACTATTCCGTAGTTCAGAGCCACTGCACTATGCTCTCTCTCTCTCTCAATTAAAAATCGCATCATCCATACATCCATGCTTTAATGCTTTAAATTTTATGTGAAATTTATTTCGTACCTCTTAGTAGCATAAAATGAAATAGATGCTAGGATAAGTAAAATTTCCAAAACAGCATTGAAAGGGGTGTTCTTCCATTGCAAAAATTTCCACTCTTTCAAATCCCTATTTTGATCACCTTCAACATCAGAGTGACACAGAATTGGGAGATCATTGTGGTAAGGAGAACAGAATAGCCGCTTAAAACTTAGAGCTTAGTCCGTGATTTAGGCACCGGCCAGAGTCAGTTAGTAAAGATCCCTCTTCCTTTAGCTTTACCTCAGAGCTCACTGATCTAGGTGTCATGTCCTGACTTGATGAAGGCAAGTCTTCCTGATCTGATGAAAGCAAAGACGGATCCAGGTTTTTCACATCAGAGTCCTCTCCCTTCTGATCTTTTCCTGAACAAAGAAAAGGGAAGAACTGATCAAACGCGAAGGCCTTCAGAGAAGGAAAGGCTGAGCCTCAGCAAGAACAGCCGAGCTGACCGCGGGGACGGCCACCCGCTCTTCCTGTTCTAGCCTCCTCTCGTCTTTGCCTCCTAGGCTGATCACATCTCTCCCTGCTGTGAAACAAGTAACGGAGCAAGCATCATCCTTCTTCTAGGGTTATCCTCAGAAGCTGATTTTTGAGCAGTCCCTTTGTTCCTACTTCAGTATTATTCAAGAACGTACTCTTCAGGTGAATTCTAAATATATATCACCTACAGAACCTATGCACTGGGATCTACAGAACTCAATTCTGGGTTTCAGGGTCTACTTCTTGGATAAAGAACAGTGTAAGTCTCATTTTAACATCTTGTATTGTTAATAAACAAACTAGCAACATGTTAATGTACATAGAAAGTTGTTTTTATTGAAGAATGTAACACAAATCATCCCTAGGAAACTCACTGCTGGTTTTATTACAGGATTTTTGCTAATTACTCTATTAATTTCACTGCACAGAGTCTTTCATATAGAAGCTATGGGAGATATTTTTCTCTGATCTTAGAATTAAACACTGAGAATACTGTTTCTTATGTCATGGCAGCCTTAAATACTATGATTTAGAAATCTATATAACATATCATATTAAAAAATCAACAATAAAAAGTATAGCAAAAATATAAACAAGTACTTTGGAAACTAAAAACCGCATTTCAAAAGGAAATCAAATAGAAATTATGAACTATTACAACAAGTAAATCAATTTTATAAGTACACGTTAAGAAACATCAATGAAAGGACAATATATCAAAACTAATGTGAAGTACGGAAAGTAGTGCTTAAAGGGGAAATGTGTAGTTTTAAAAACATTTATAAAAAAGACAGAAAAAAATGACAAAACTGAGTTTTGTATTCAATCATAAAGGCCAAGAATGACTGAGGAAACCCCCCAAAAATAGAAAAGAAGAAATCATAAACAAAAATGGCAACTAGAAAATAGGCTAAAATCATAGAATAAACAACAAATCAAAGACTGACTCTTTGAAATCAAATACTTAAAAATACACAAATCTTTCACTACTCAATAACATCAAAATGAAAAACAGGCACAACCACAAATCCAACTATCATTTTAAGAACTAATAAGCAAATCCTATGGGCACCTTTGGACAAATTTGATGAAACAGAAACTTTTACAGAGAGTTATAAATTATCAAAGTTTACTCAAGTATAAGCCTGAATAGTATAATAATCACTCAAAAAGTTAAACCAATAATTAAAAGTCTCACACTCAGAAGGAAAAAGGTGCCTGGACCAAAACAGATTTTCAGGTGAGATTTTATCAGACTTTCAATGAACAAAAATCTCTTTCTTATGCAAACAGTTACAGACAATTTTTAAAAAGTAAAGATACTTAATTCATATTAAAAGGCTGGTAAATCCTGACATGAAAACAAAACACATAAAATACAAGTAAGAAAAATTGTAAGCCAAACTCAAAAATGAACACAGATGCAAAAGTCCTAAATAAAATATTACCAAATGGTGCAGTGAAAAAAATGCACAGACTAAGATTTATCTCAAAAATTCAAAGTATACTCAGTTTCATAAACAATCATAAAAATCTATGAATGTAAATTGGCATATTAACAAACGTTAACAAAAGATAGGACAGAAATTATATTATCATCTGAACATATAAATCATTTGAAAAATTCAAGTCTTTCAAGGTAGAAGTAGAAGAAAATTTCTTTAACTTAGAGAAAAGGTTACCTAATCAAAATACTGGGCCAACATTATCCTTAATGGTAAAACTTTGGACATATTCTCATTGTTTTAAAGAAAACATAGGAATGCCTACTACCACTATCCTTATTTAATACTATATGATACAGGTCCCAAGCAATGAAAAGAAAGAAGAAAGGGGGAAAAAAAAAGCCATAAGGATTGGAAAAAAGCAAATAAACTGTTATTTGTAAATACTGTTACTGCCCACATAAAAAATCAAAGACTCTATGGTCAGATATTAGAAATAATAAGAAAGCTTGACAGAAGAGCTGACACCAAGATCAGTAAAGTAGAAACATTCCATATGCCAACAATAACCATTCAGATATCGCAACAAAGAAAATATGTCATTCACAATAGAAATAAAAATATGAGGTAACTAGACATCAATTGAACCAAAACTATATAGTGGAAATTGCAAAATCTTATTGAAAGATACAAAAAATAGAATAAATAAGGCACGTATATGTATATTGGCAAAAACTCCTATCATAATAGTGGTAAACATCTTTTAAATTTATCTTAGATTCAATGCAAATCCGATCAAATTTCAAGCAGGAAATGTGGGCATATGTGTGTCTATGCACTTGTCTACGTGTGTAGACAAACTAAAGAACAGCAAAGACAATTCTGGGAAAGGAAAGCAGATTGGGGGCATTTGCCCTATCAGATATCGATACTCATTATAAGTTAAAGTCATCGAAACAGTGTGAATTGGTGTCAGGACAGCAAAGTAGAGCAATAAAAGAGAACTGGGCTTCAAAACCAATCTCAAGCACACATGAGCACCTGCCAATTGACTATGATGGCAGCGCAGGTCAGAGTGGGGAGAGCACCAAAGTAAGTGGGCTCGGGACGGCCAGCTTTCCTCCCAGGAGGAAACGGTCATACCCCTTCATCACAGCACAGTAAGATCAAAGATCAAAATACGCAAAGTAAGTATAACTCAATAAAAAAAGTTAAAAAAAATAAAATAAAAATAAAAAACCAAAATATGCAAAGTAAAAGAGCATATTTTTATTATCTCAGGGTAGGGACAGATTTTGGAATTATGAAAGCACAATTTATAGAAGATGATATTGATTAAGTCTGAATGTCCAATTAAAAGATACTATCAACAAAAAAATGCGCATCTACCAGGGAGAAATGATACAACTGATAACAGAACATATCAAGGATATACAAAGAATTCTTAAAATTCATTAGGAAGACAAAAAAGCCAATAGGCAAAAAAAAAGTGAGTAAAATATATTAAACTAGCTGATCTTCTTAGTTGCCAAGTAACAGCAACCAACTGTTGCTGATTTGAGAATAAAGAAACTTTACCACATGTGCTCTGGGAAACTCCTTTAACCACCAAAAAAGCTGAGCAGTAAGACATGGCCCTTGAATGCTGTGGGGCCACATCTAACACTCCTGACATGGAATGCTATCCTCCCAGAGCCCTCGACCTTGGTCACCACGGCCACTACTTCCTCATACCAAGACTTAGAGGACAGGGAGCTCTGCAAACCAAGAAGGCTCTTCAAATGCTAGGGAGGCAAATTACAAGGAAAAAAAGAGGGTCTACAGGGATCATAAACAAGCAACTCACAGCAGAAGAAAAGTTACAGGCCAGTAAATGCATGAGAAAACGCCCACCGTCACCTGACACGAGGATGACATTAGAACGGCCCACCGCTGACTCTCCCTTCTGCCCACGAGGGAGCCGCTGCGCAGGGCTCAGCACAAGCAGAAAACAGGACCAAACACACGAGACAGTAGCTTCCAGACTGCGACCTCTGGGAGAGGGGACACAAGTTAGACAAGCCCTATGACCGCCCCAGATTAAGGCTTCCAGGTGTCTCCAGGCTACAGCTCAGGGAGAGGAACCTCAGAGCCTCAGGAACTCAGTGAGCTGAGAGGAAAGAAGTCGAACTTCAGAAGGCCAGGGCAGGTAGAATCTGTGAGGCAGAGTGTCAGAGAGGAGGGAGCTGTGCAGAATAAGAGACGTCCGAATATCAGCGAAGAAATCTTCCCAGGTCCTTCAGAGAATATGGATCTGCTTGTATGTAGAGGGCAGTCCCTGACACTCAGGCAGAATCACCAGGCCAGACAACTCCTGGAGACCAGCAAGGGCTAGGAACAGTGTGTTCAAGCAGCCAGAATAAGGGGACCTTGTAATACACAGGGCACTGGGACGAGTGCACAGAAAAGACACCTCTCAGCAGTAAAACGAAGCTATCCTCAGAACAGAGGCAACTCTGGACACCTACAAAACGTTTAACAGCAAGTTTCAAACAGGATCAACTTACCTAAACTTCAAGTAACATAACTGCAGGCAGAAAATACTTCGTATTTTTTTTACAGGAATACAAAAAACCCAGAACCCCAAATTGTATAATTCATAATGGCCAGCATTTAGTCAACACTTAGCAGGCATGCAAAGAAGCAGGAAAATATGGCCCATAACCAGGTAAGTCAATCAACAGAAATACAGTTAGAAATAACAGATGGTGATATTTGTAAAGAAAAACCTTTTATAAGCTATTATAAATTTTATAAAGGTGCTCAAGGAAGTAAAGAAAACATCATATAATGAAAAGAGAAATACAAAGTATAAAAATGAGACCCAAATGGAACTTCAAGGAATGAAATGAACAATATGTGAACTGAATGTAATTAATAACAGATAAGACAGTAGAGAAAAAAAGGTAAGTGTATGCCAACATATAGCAATAGAAATTATCCAAAATAAAGCATGGGGGCGGGTAAGGGGGCAGACTGAACAGAGATTCAGCAAACTCTAAAAGGGAAAAAATGGGAGACAGATACCACGTTAACACTAGTAAGAGAAAGTTTGAATGGCTAGATTAGTATCAAAGTGACTTCAGAACAAAGAATGTTACCAGGGATAAAGAGGGACATTACATAATGATAAAGAGGCAAATTTATTAGAAACATAATAATTCAAAACATTTATACAATAGTGAAACTTCAAATTACATGAAGTAAAAACCAATAGAATTGAAAGGAGAATGACAGACAGCCAAAAATTCTCTTTAGCAATTGATGTAACATATAGAAAAAAATATCAGTAAGGACATGCAAGATTTGAAACACACCATAATTCACATTTTCCTAATTTAACCGTTTAGAACACTTCACCCTGAAACAACAGACTACCCATTCAAGTGTCCATGGAATATTCTCAAAGATCATACTCTGGGTTATAAGATAATTTTTAACAAATTTACAATCTATTAAGTCATACACAGTTTATCATAAAAATTATAAAATATGTCACAAATATCCTCAAATCAAATGGAATTAAATTAGAAATCAGTAATAATAAGATATATAGGAAATTTCCAAATATTTGGAAACTAAACAACAAACTTCTATTTAACCAATGAGTCAAAGACGAAGTTGCAGGGAATCTAGAAAATATCTTAAACTTCACGAAGGTGAATTAAACAGCATATTAAAATTTTATAGAGGGAGCCAAAGTAATGTTTTTTGAAAAGGTACAATACTGGATATGTCTATGAAAACAAAAAACAGAAAACAAAAACCAGAAAGACCTAAAATCCATGATTTAAACTTCTACCTTAAGAAATCAGAAAAAGAAAAAAAATTAAATTCAAAGAAGCAGAATAACAGATAGAGTGGTAAGAATAGAAATCAATTAAATAAGGAGAAAAACAAAATGGAACCAACATCTGGTTCATTGAGAAGATCAATAAAATTGGTAAATATCTTGACAGGTAAATTGAAAAATAAAAGAGAGAAGAAACAAACCAATAATCTCAGGAATGAAAGAGAGGACTTCATAATATTTCAACAGAAATTTAAAGGATATTAAAGGAATATTATGAATAACTATGTCAGTAAGTTTGACAACTTAGATGAAACGAACAAATAATTTGAAGGCACAATCTACCATAGCTCAGCCAAGAAGAAACAAATGATCTGAATAGACCTATAGCTAGTAAAGAAATTGAATTTATAATTTAAAAATCCTCCCACAAAGAAAAACACCTGGCCCAAATAGCTTCACTGGCAAATTCAAAATATTTAAGGAAAAGCACCAATTTTACACCAACTTTCAAAACAATTGAAGAGACGGATACACTTCTCACTTCATTCTATGAGGTAAACACTACTGTATGAGTCTGTTAGGGCAGTCATAACAAAATACCACAGACTGAGTGGCTTAAACCATAGAAATTTATTTTCTCACAGTTCTGAGGCTGCAAGTCCAAAATCAAGGTGCCAGCAAGTCTGGTTTCTTCTGAGGCATCTCCTTGGTTTACAGGTGGCCTCCTTGTTGTGTCTGCTTTGATCCCAGTTCTGTTATGTGGTGGGACCAGGGTCAACTTCCCTGCTCTCTCTATGCCTCACTTTCCTCATCTACAGAAGAGCAGTACTGACAGTACCTATGCCACAAGGATGTCACAATGACTAAGCCAGATACATGTGAAGCACTCAGCACAGCACCTGACACAGGGTCAGCATTTAATGAGTTGGTTACCACTGTCTGAGTTTCCAGAATTTATTTTCTTCATTTACACTTTTCAAGAAATATTTACTCCATTAAACCATGTGATTATTTTTAACTTATTAAAAATAAATAGCCAGAGCCTAGAAGCAATGATACTGCATCAGCAGCAAACACGCCCAGCGCTCAGCTCTTGGTTTCTCAATACTATTATCCAATAAGAGGAAACAAAGTTCTTTGGAGAAACGGCTGAATCTAGGACTGAGGCAGGGGCAATGCAAGATAAGCCTGGAGCATCTTGTAATGCAATGAAGTAATAAAGTGCTCAAAAAACAAAAGAATGGAGTATGTCAAAGGGACACAAGAGTCAACCTGAAAGAGCTCCCATGGGCCAGGACTAGAAAAATTTGAAAAACAAAGTAACTAACATAACAACTAGTTTAAAATATAAAGTATAAAATATATATACATGAGTCCATATTGATACAAACAAATGATTGAATAAGTAAATAAATAGGGGAGTAGAAATAAATCCTCTTTATAGAGGAGTGCAGGAGTGAGACTCTGGTTTAGCTTGTTAACGGCCTGTGACACTCAGGGTGAAATCATAATTGTCAATACAAATCTGTATAACTTTGAAAAGAATTATATAAGGGGACCTCTTGAGGGACTGCTAGATTATTTCATTTAAAATCTAACTAGACAATAAGATGTGCTATATTATGACAACAAGTATCATTTTATTCTTTAAATTAATAGAGAGGAAGCTGTCTGGCATAGGCAAAAAAAAACCAGGCCAGTAAATCTAGCAGGTTTCTGTTTTAGTTAAAAAAAAAAATCCTTCACAGCTGTGCATTCCTTTAGAGAAGGCAGGTTATTTAAAAAGTACAAGGTCTTCAACTTGAGGGCTCTTCATTTACTCAAGTCAAATTTTGAAAGCTTGAAATCTGACAAAATTCTCAAAAGCACTGTAGACAAGAGACAATTTTTTTTTCCTGAAGGCTAAAATCATGCACGCTTAAAAAAAAATCACTCTGTTTTAAGTGTCAATTCATTTAGCTACTTTATATCAGAGGAAAACTCATAGAAATAAATATAGAAAGAACCTGTCTCAAATAATTTGTTCAACTCATTAAATAATCAAGGAATAGCGAGAGGATAAAAGCTGGCTGAAAAGACCATTTCGAGGAACATGTTATCTTTGTCCATTAGGAAAGGCATTTTGAAATAAGTTTGCTAAATTAGAAACAAAACTGATTAGTGTTCTACAGGGCACTGAAACTATAACTTTTTCTGTCAGACAGACATCTTAAAAAAGTGATATTATTAAATTAATAACTTTCCTTCTGATGTAACTTACACATGTGTGACCCACAACCTCAGCTCTTCAGTTACTACTTGCAACGAATCGTGCTAAACCTCACAGACTGCTTTGATTCAGCAGAGCTTCATCAGGTTTGAAAGTCTTTGAAAGGGCAGTAGGATCGAAATTTGGGGAATTTAGGACAGTCTCTGAAAATCCAGGACAGAAGTCAATGGTGAATACAGTCAGAGATGAATTGGCTGCAATGAGAGGAGACTTTTTGGGAGACTCCTTAGAATTCCACTTTTTGGATAAGTCTTAATTTATTAACTGTCCTATAATTGAAGGCCATTTTTTTGGATGCTGTCTTTTTCCTTTTCACTGAAGCTAAAACAAAGTCATGGAGTGTTTAGGATACAACTCAGGAATGAAGTTGAGTCAAAATTACATTTTGAAAGATTCCAGCAAAATTTATAATTTCATCAGATTCTTGAATAGAAATTTAGAAGATTATTAACTTAATAGAACTGTCAGTGCACAGTTAGTTCAAAAAGGAAAAAGTATGAAGCAGATTTTTTTTTAAATCATGTTACACAAAAGTAAATAAATAATCCTGGACAGGAATCACAGGAATTAAAGAAAGCACAAGGCATCATTTCCCAGCAACTAAGTCAACCACATTTCTTTTCGCTGTGATGACACCAAACATGGTGAGGTTACAGTACAACTGGTATATTGCTGGTAATGTGCTTAATTTCTTCTAAAAATAATATAGCAGTAAGTAGTAAAAGTAATACAAAATTCAGATCCATTAGCTCAGGGATCCCAATCTGGAGAATTTATTCTAAAGAAAGAAGTCAATCAAAGAATAAAATCTATAAATATTAACATGCTGTCAATATAGTATCTATAATTAAAGAAAAAAAAACTGGAGACAACATACGTGCTATGAATAAGTACTATCATAATGAGAAAGAAGGCTTCCTTCAGGCTTTCAGAATGTAAACAGGGCCAGAAGTACTTCTGGAGTCGGACCTGCAAGGCTAGAGAAGCAGCCGGGCAGGAAATGCTCTGTGTAGAACTCTGGCTTAAACCTCTAGTGGGAGGGAGCAACACTGATCACACAGCGGCAGGGGAGGAGAGGAGCAGGAGCTGAGCTGAACACAGAAGGGACGAGAAAAGGTATAAAAGGAAGGGTGAAAGCCGAGGGCAAAGCTGCTCGTGTCTGAGGCCAGACCATGGCAGCACGGGCCGCTGGGGGCAGTGTCATCTAATTAAACCACTGCGTTAACACCGCGCCCAGATCCTTCTCTGTGCTTTTGTGCTTTTATGTACTTTCCAAAGGACATAAGTATTTCCTCAATAAACATAGATCACACCTACTATCAGAAAAAAAAACCATTATTTCATCAGAGTGAAATAAAACACAAGAATATAACTCTTGCCGCTAGGCGTGGTGGCTTCTCAGAGACATGGAACTTTGGGCCCCACCATGGACACAGTGACTCCCAGTGTGCAGGTAACAGACCTACAGGTGGCTCAACACACATTTTCAGTCTGACAAGGGCCACTCCGGCCCCGCCTGCCCCCACACCTTCCCAGCGCGCAGTGCACACGAGCCTACCAGACTCTGCTGTGGCGTCCTCGGGTGAAGACATGTTGTCCCCACGCCCGGAGGACATGGGCAGGTTTCTGCAGGTGCTGGGCCTTATGTTCTGAGAGTCAGGCAGCAGGTCTAATTAGTATCCTGGGGCCAGCACACAACTGTTGTTCACCTGGTTAAACACACAACATAAAAGAATTTCTGTTAGACAGCTTGAGTTTTCAGTTTTGACATATTATTACTCATTTATTTAGTCACTGTCACTCAGCGAGTTAATTCTTTTAAGGCCACCTTATTCTGAATTAGGGGCTGGGGATTCGATATTGAAGGATAAAAATTAACTTCAGAGCCTGTCTTCAAGGAGTTCATGTTCAATCCATAAAAAGCCCTCACATAGGATAAACATCTTTTTCTCTTCTAATCTGTGCCATAATAGGTCTGTAAGATGATGCTACATTGCTCCCATTGATTAAAATCTAGAGGGTTTTTTTTGGGGGGGAGGTGTCTGGCAACATTTCCATTAGTTACTTGCAAATGAAATGAGTTTACTATAATCTGAATCTAAAAGTTAATGTTTTAAAACATGTATTTCAAAATTTTAGATACAGGATGTTAAGAAATATTATTTAAAAAATGGAAGTAAGGCAAAAACACAGGTGGCATATGCTTTCAATGTTATATGAGGATGATGTTTAAGGGCCTCCCAAGGATTAATTATGTAAAAAAATTGTACTTTGTAAAACTCATTGTTTACCATTGATTAAAAGGCCTAGATTCAGTGAAATTATTGTGTTAACTTATAGATTTTCATCCAGTAGGGCTATGAATAATTTCTGTCTGATAGGAAAGATAATACCAAAGATTATAATTCATTGCCCTGTCAGATATTAACCAGGCTTTTAAAACCTAATACAGCATTCTTACTTTTGACATTCATTCAAAATGTGTATAGAAACCCAGATCCTCAAAATGCTCTCTGAACTACCTTTGTTCCCTTCCTGGCTGCTTCATTAATAAGTAAATTGAATAAAGTCCTTATCATGGTTTCATTTCAAATTTTAATGAGTCACATTTAATTTTTTGAAAATTCTACTTTGATAAAGGGGAAAAACAATCTCTCTCTCTCTCTTTTTTTTTAAAGGACAGCAGTGGCCTTGTGACTGGTACTGAGGTAATGGACTTAAGTGATGGGCCTCCCCTGGAAATAACACTGAAAAGTTAAAGACTTCACTGTTAAGTAAAACCCACCAAGGATGACACCCAAGCTTCTGTCTCCCAAATATATGATTGAGAATATTTTAAATGGCGCAATCTGAATTAGAGATAGCTAAAATGAACTTCCGTCAGGATGCTCCCTGATAAACGGAGACTCTATTTAAATACCAGTGTTGAAATGTGCTACCCACCGCATTCTCCCAAATAAACATGTGAATGGCACCCAAGCAGCTTATTTTCTTTATATAAATGTGCACGCGCACACACACACACACGTTAGTAAGATCTCTCTAGCACACAGGTGAGCAGACTGAAATCCGTATTAATCCATACCAACAGTCACTAATTTCAAATCTTCCGTGAAAGTCAGCAGAGCTCCCAGAGCAAACAGCTTTGATCAGAAACACATGTCCATTTCTGGTGTGTCCATTAGTGCAGTGAGTTTGAGATAACCCTACAGAAGTACAAGAACCAAAGTGGATGAATTTCTCCTCTATTACATTTGAACCAATTAACATTTAATTTAATTTTTGAGTCACAGCTACTGTGGTAAATCTGTAGTACTGTAAGACTGTACAATTCACCATTGACAAGTGTGTACTGACACCCAGGCAGTCTGTGAGGTCTACAGAAGTAAATTACATAATAGAAAAAGAATCTTCACTTTTTTACAAAGCAATAAAAAACTTTTCAGGAAATAGCTGAAAGCTTCTACTGTATTACCCACTTCCCCCTATGTTTTGGCTAAGCAAGCCCAAATCAGTGCTTACTTTCTGGTTTTTCTTGGACACATCTCCCCAGGTTAGACCACAAGCATTTGAGGACAGGAACTGTAACTTTGTCATTTTTGAATCTTCAGTAACATTCTAGACACTCAAGAAGTGGTTGATGGGCTAATTAGTTAATTCTGTGAAAAATGTGTCTGCATCACCAGTCTGCATGGCCATCTCAAGAACTCAGAAGTCAGAGCCCTAAATTAAAGATGTCTCTACAGCTCCTGGAGGAGGTGCTGTGTGTACAAAACCAGGGAACTAAGCTTGAGAAGGGGGACGTCTAAAACAAGTACCACTTGTTTTTGGATACAGCTCTGAGGATAGAGGAAAAAAGGTCCAACGTGGCACAAAGTGGTCTCATGTGATCAAAAGAGGACAAAAACACAAGTATTTTGTTTGACCAGGCAACAAAAGCAGAACATTCTTCTTCAGGAGTTAAGAGTGACATAGAAGGGCCAATGAATACCATATACACTCTCAATTCTCAGTTGGAATGCTATTTTCAATTTATCCTAAACTCTCTCAAAACTAAAGCAGATGCTAGCAAAGGCCATTTCTTCACACTGACTTTATGTGAGATGCAAGATGCACTGTGCCCCAGTAATTCTGACCTCCAGGGCTGAGGCTACTTCCAATTCAATTCTTTTGAAAGTTCTATCTCCCCCTACTCTCAGAGACCTATACTGGCCCGGAGAGAAGGGAATGAAACCCCCAAATGCTCAGTATTGAATAATCTCGCTGCAATTCCTGAAGGCACCTCAGGGATAAGAGCTCCTTCCTGTGAGATTTATGTTTCCTGTGTGACCACACTGCCAGCATAAGCTTCTTGGACTATTATTAATTATTTAACATGTTTTATAACTTCTAGCAATTGTTTTTAGTTTAGTCTTTTTTTTTAAGAAGCGATGTTGTTGCTTTTTCTGATTATAAAGATAAGCAATATTTATACAGAAAGTAAAGTTACCATTAGGAAACTTCATTCTTGTTCAGTAGTTTAACATTCATTGCCTGTAATGTGCGTGTGGGGCATGGGGGATGAAGCTGGGAGGAATGACGTGCTGAAGGGCCACCTCAAGAGCCACTGGCAATCCCGGACAGTGCAATCAGGCAAGAGTAAGAAATAAAGGTATGAGGTATGCAGACTGGGAAGGAAGCAATGAAATTGTCTTTATTCATGAGATTAAGATATTTACACACAATTATACCTCAAGAAAGCTATTTTTAAAAATCCATAAAAAGATAAATAATCTACTTCCATAAAAGAAAAATAAAAGATAATTATTTGATAACTTAAAAAATCAAGTCATTAATGAAAGTTTAAACATTAAAAAATAGTTGTTACCCATCAACCATAGAAATGAGAGAGAACT